AGCGATGATAATGATGGCATGTTTTCTTCTATTTACTTATTGATCCATATACTACTTACTAGTCATGATAAACGTCAAACAGTTTAATGATGGTGGTGATGATCCATCTCCAATATAGAATAAAAACGACAATCGTTGTACATCAAAGTCAATCAAAATCTACTCTATAATTCTATTATAGTTTTTCTTCTCATGTGCATCGGAAGTTAAATTAGTATAATTAACATCTTTTAAAGTTAATATTCATGTACGCATTATACGCTGTGTTATGTTGGTTAATGATGCACATCAATACAACAAATTTTATGTAAAAAAAGAACGATGATTTGTCAAAATAGTTGTGACAGCCGGGTTTAATAAACACTTAAATTATAGATATTCATTACACGTTATCGAATGATACTATAGTCTTAACATATTTAATATGCTCAAAGAAAACTAACTATTCTTCTTTTCTTTTTTCTTTTTTCTTCTCATTAATGACCGGAACTGATCTTCTTTTTTTGTCATAAAGGTTTTTTTAAGTCAGTATAGAAATTAGTAAATGTCACGGGACAGTATGAGAAAATAACTAATATCAACGTAAACGGTGTATTAGTCCTTTCTGATACTGAATGTTAGAAAATAATAAAGAATTATCATGAACGTATGGTTTTGTTTTCTGTCTCTCTTTGCCTTTTCTCTCTCTCTATCGAGTAGTATTAACAAAAATACATTTTTATTCATTCGACTAGAACAAATCAAACACCAAGAAGAAGCCATTTAATTTTTATATGTGTATGTGTATATAGTGCCCGATGGCTGCTAGTAGGAAGTAATATTTAGATTTTCTTTTATAATCTTCTACAGAGAAAAAAAAAGAAGAGAAGAAGATTATAGTAGCAGATATTTAAACCTTATTGTTAAATACGCTGAAATGAACATGATAATGATGATTAAATGTGAGGAAGGACAAACTTTACAGTTACAGAGATTTTTTATTAGTGAAATAAAAATGTCATTTTCAATCATAAATCATGCCAATAATATATCAATGTAGAGATATAAAAAATCAATAACAATATCAATAACAAATCAAAGAACTCATTTATTATTTTAAATGTCAATTTAATGAAATTATATACTAAACAGAATTTACTATTATTAACAATACATTCAAAGAAAGAAAAAGAGTAATTCGCTTTTAACCTTGAAAACAGCACTTATTACGAAATAGTTGAAAATTGTTCAAGGTAAAAATGTCAGAGTATATATACTCAAAGTATATTAAAAAAAATAATGCCTGAATTGTAAACAAAATTTTCAGATTTGAGCTACATTTTTTAAATTATATTTTTTTGGTATTCACAAACTCAAGATCAAATTCATATGATTAATAACTAGAACGAATCGAAAAAAACTATTGAATATCTTTAATATAAAAAAACTATAAATATTCAGATATTTCTTCGTTATAGTCCTTGAGAGATAAACAACAACTTTGAGTAGCATATCAATCAGTATTTGTACTATTAGCTCATTTTTAACAGATGATTACGACTGGCAATTGTGTCTTTTTTTCCAGTTCATTAACAATCTTTCGATTATTATACGACATATGCATATATGCGTTGTACCCTCACTTTTTCTCTCTCTCTGTGAGAAAACAAACACGAAAAAATCATTCTAGTTGATTTATATTTATATTTCTCTGAGCATCTATTGTTCTTTGTCTCTCTCTCTCTCTCTCTCTCTCTCTCTCTCTCTCTCTCTCTCTCTCGCTTTCTCTTACACTCGTACATTAAAAAAATGTTACAATCTTATTTTCTCGTTCTCGAGTTATCACTATACATAGGCAAAATGTTTTTTTTTCTATATTATCTATCTTCCGCACGGTTTCATCAGTCAACAGTGAAGATGAATAAATATGACCATTTATTATTACATTATTTCATGTTTTCCTTTTACTCTCTTCTCTATCCTATTGTTATTGATGAGATAAAAAGTTTTTTATTGACCTCTTTACTTTATTTAGATAGATGTCATGCAATAGACAAGAGAAAGTCCGACGTTCTTAAAGAAAAATAACATCAATGACTTGTCATCATAATTGTGGACAAGTCAAAGTTTTTTTTTGTTTCCGTTTGATGAGACTATAATATGTTCACAATTGGCAAAAAAATAATAATATATATAATATATGCCTACCCCTATTCAACAAATCACCACTATAACAAACAGCATTCTTAGAAAAACTACATCAGTAAAATACGTTGTACAATAGAGTCACTGTTTAAAATTAGACTTTTAACAGTTCATAAGCATCCTTGTCAAAAGTGTAAAAAAAAAAGAGTGAGATATATGTAAAAGAACAGAAGCCATCGTATTATTGTCTGTACGTTATGCTCACTTTTTTTTCTTCTTTGAGGTAAAGTTTTATTTAGCAGTCTTTTGTCTTCTCATTCACAGTATCAATAGAAAAAAATTTTTTTTTGTTCAATCAGACACATTAAAAAGGTGTACAGCTGTATCTGAAATCGTCTTTCTCTATACTGTTTGTGTGTGTATGTGTGTGTGTGTGTGAATGGTATCCAGAACAGGTTAAAATTTTTTTGTTCATTCTACATCAATACACGCACACAACAAATTCTTTTAATATTTAGCCGCCACTATTATCAAATTGACTGAGAATAGATACAATTAATCACTTAAACATAGTTATATTACTTAAGCGTAATTGTTAAAAATGACGACGTTTTGTTGATTGATCGCGCAAATAAATTGAACATTAGAAAGCGACAAAAAGTATATTTTTACACCGGAACATTTAACTAATTAGATGATAATTTTTATATGAGACAAATGCTTTTATCTTTTAAATAATTTGTTACTTATTTCTTTTTTTTTGTCAGACAAACATATCAATAAGATAAGAGAATATGAATATCGGGAGAAAAAAACCTATGAACAATCTTTTCGGCTAATTGGCATCAGGTTTTTCGTATATATTTCGTAAAGACTCTATTGATTATAAAAACTATTCAAATATAACTAACCTTGTCATATCCAAATAATTAATAACACATTATAATAATCTAAATGTCAACAATCTTCAATGAACATTACCATCACTTGACTAAGAGTAAGAGTAATAAATGTTTAAAAATTCTTTTGGATAGAAACAAAGATCATAGAGGAACTGCATACAGTGAAAAAGAACTGAAAGATATGATGAACATATAGAATGAGGAGAAAAAATTGTTTGATTTTTTTTTCCGTATTCACACGTCTACATATATAAACGAAGAGAAGAAAAAGAATCACTAAACAAAAGAGCTATAGAATAAAGAATGGAAAAAGTTAAAATAACTCTGTAATCTTTAATCATAGATTTAATTGCTTAACCTTACTGTGGATGAGTATCGATAATGATCGGCTTCGAAGTTTAAAAGCTCAACACACACACTCTTCAGTTAAAAATAATACAAACATTTTCTTCTTTTTCTCTCTCTCTCTCTCTCTCTCTTCAAGGTAATAAGAATTCGTTCATTGTCTAACATAAACTCTTGTGACGATCAAGTATCTGTAATAACAACAATAATAATGCTGGAGGCTATTTTTTCTTTGCTTGAAACGGAAATGGAATATTTTACATTTTATAATCTTTTGAGTAGATCTGTGTGCTTATTGTTAGTGTTTATTCTGATTGTGAGAAGTGTTCATAAACAATGCTCTTTTTCTCTTAAATTTTTTAATCCACAAACCATTCGTATTTTTATATTGTTATTCTCAATGGTCATTCAACACAAACAAAGATTAATGTCATACTTTTATTATGTTAGAAAGAGAATTTTTTTTATTTTTTTATTGAACAGCATGCAACGCTCTGATGTGTAAAAAAATCGAAATTACGTAAAAAAAAATGAAAGAATACAATACGCGTTAACGACTATAAGAAAAAGTCAAAAATTTTAGAAATAGAATTTTTCGATCAAAGATACATCACAACACGGAAATAGACTTGAGAAAACTAATAATCTTAACTTTCCTTGATATTCAATAGGTTTTCTTGGAACAATTTTCCAAAATAAACTAAGACTTGGTCAAATATGTTAAACAAAGGTGTTGTATTTTTTGATTTTTTTTCACTTACCTTTAGGCAATATGGTCGTGCGTCAATTCATAACTAATTTAAAATATTGTTTTTGTATTCAACAGACAAATTTTTAAAGGAAAATGTTTCACTAACTGTCTTGTTAGGTAAGAAAAGAGTAATAAAAGCTCAAATGAAATGTGTTAGTTCAAAACCGTGCCATTCCTAGGAAAATATTATATTACTGTGTCATACCCCTAAAAAATATACTGTAAGATTCAAATGGATAGACCTTGTGTTTGCCCAAATTCTCACTCTACAAAAATTTCTTTCGTTCTTAAATAGACGAGTTTTTTTGTTAATGTTCCAGTAGAACATACTATAATCGAACAGTTCTACTTCATTTCTTTTGTTTTTTATCTAAAATTGCCTAGTCAATGCAATGTGTTCACCCTAGCTGATGTTAACTGATTTGGGATATTCTATTAAATGTTCGAGAGTAAAACAATTCTAATCATATCAAACAAATTCGCATGTTCACAATAGTTCTGTTCTACATTTTTTTTATTCTTCTACTGCTACGATTTAAGTGTTGCGTGCTTCTTTGCTTTTTATTTAAATAAATGTTTGTCCTAGAGAAATTAATCAAAAATATTTATCGGATCTTTTAATCTCTTATACATCAAACAGATTTGAAATATATCAAATGAACTTTTTTCTTTCGAGTCTACAACTTACACAGGCGAATGTGATGGATATGATGATCATACACAAAAATTGATCGTTTATATTTTCAAATATGACAAAGATCAATTTTAATAATAAAAACTTATAGTCTGAATAGAACAACAATTGTTCCAAAAAGATTATTTTTTCCAAATTCATATCATAAACCCATGGACATTCACAGAACTCATAATTATCATACTTATGGATCACAATTTATTAATTTATTTTTCAAGTTAGAAAAGTATGTGGCTAATGTTATCGTATCACCACATCCCCGTTCATTTTTTAATGAAGTCACTTCATCTCTTATTTGTTGCTCATTTGCGGTATTTGTACTTGTTTCATGATAATGAATATGTTGTGCTGTTTTGTTCTGTTTAAATTGTTGTTGTGTCTGTTGTTGGTGTAATAAATCGACTAGAAAATGTTGATGAATTGATGCAGGTTCTCGTTCGTCATCATTTTTCATATCGATCAATTGAACCCATTGACTATTATGATACAAATTTCGATCATATTCTAGTTGCATAGCATTTCGAATATTTTCTTGAGCTTTTAATTTAAATAGTTTATCATGTTTTTGATGTTTATGATTAAGTAGACAGTTCTCCCGATGAATTTCAATGTTTGTTAACGTTAATTTTGTTTCATTGTGAATAACATTATTATAATGACTTGTTTCTGCCCAATCTCGTAAAAATTTAGAAATATATTCAATACTGTCTTCTGGACGATATTGAGAGACATTGACTAGAGCATGTGTCAGCGGTTCAGCAATAATCGAACGTAGATAATCATCATACGACACCTCTTGTGATGACATATCGGTTTGAAGGCAATGACTTTTATCTTGAGCAAGTATTTCATCATGATTTACCACGTAGCGTTGTTTGTTCACTAATGGGATTAGCAAACTCTTCATTTGAGATGATTGTTCAACAGAATCTTTCAATGATTCTAGTTGTGAATCAAAAACCTTTTCTGTTATTTTCATTTTGTCAGGTGAAGAGTTAGATTTTGTTGCTTGTCTTTTACCTTTTTTCTTTTCAATAATATACTGATCATTTTGTTTTTCTCGTACGTGTTCTTCCATATCTAAAAATAAAACCCATCATGATCTTATGTCGTCACTAGCTGGTAAAATAGTGAAAAAAAAGTTCTGATAATAGTGTCCATTCTCACCATTTATATTCGCTTCATCATTGTTTGCTCTTGATCTAACATTCATATCTAAATTTGACTGATACGCTTGATTTGATTTGTTAGATGTTTTTGGTTGCTGATTGTCAAAATACGGTAACTCGTAGAACTCATCCATCATATCTTCTAAGTCTCTACCGGTATCTGTTATTGTCTTTTCGTCCTCAAAATCCTGTTCTTCTTCATGTTCAATGGATAAGAAACTTTCACTTAACATCATGCCTTTCGCTTGATCGTTTTCAGTTTTATTTCGGTATACGGTTTGCTTATTAAACTGAAAAGGAATATGTTTATCATAAAATGTTCGCTGATAGGCTGGAAATTTTTCTTGCTCTTTTTCATCCAAATGTGATTTCCATTTATTTGGAATGTTGTACGACGACGATGTAACCGATTGGAAGGAAGTGGGTGACCAAGAATAGGCATAATCATTAAATATTGAATTATATTGCTGATGTTGTATTTTTGAATTAATAGTTTTAGGAAGTACATTTCTCTTGTCAAACCTACAACATTTAACATAATTAAACAATTTTGACAAATAAACGATTCATAAATAGTTGGCTATGTTATCTTCTTGATTCTATATTTGGTTCTTTTTGCTATCTACTCGAATTGACTTTTGAGTTGAATAAAGATCTATTCAATAAGACTTATTTTTCGCAAAGACAAAAAAGTTCTTACTTATCAATATTATCACTAATGAAAATCTTTTTCTCCGATTTTAATGTTACTGTGGTTGTTTCAGTTATAACTATTTTTTCAGTATCATTCACAGCTCGGATGACTTTATCATTTAATGTTTGGATAGTATTCATGACGTTAGTGAGTGAGGACAATCCATCGTAATAAACGGACTATGTCAAGATTACGCGCCAGAATCAATCGATTATAAGAGTACACTTTATTTTAATCTAACAATGATCGCAACATTTGCTTCAAAACACAGCAAGAAGTCTTTTAGAAATGTTCTAGATTATCTCATGGCATATTGACAACTTAGAATTTCACCAGCTTTAATGTGATTGACGACAATGATAAATTGAGATTTTGCTTATAAACTTGCACTTTAAACAACCGATAACTGTTTTTTTCTAGAGACAGTACAACAAATATTGATTCTACACAACCTTCTTATGATGTGTATGCTCATAAAAATCATGAGAAGGCGCGATAATATTCTATTGTCTCTAAAGAGTTTCTCATTTTTCACCTCCTATTAGAGCTACTTGCATGGCATAATTCAATGATCCCTCGATGTTGTTAGATAAATAATAAAGAAATGACTTGAGAATTCGATAGTGCTTGCTCCGTCAGCTTGTTTTACCTATTCAAGTAAATTAATTGTAATTTTATGTTAAGACGTCATGAGATGAGTATAAATATATTCTATTTATTTAGTTCTAAATTAAATCTTTTTTTCTTTAACTTACCAAAGTATGTGTCTTTGTCATTAAAATAACACAGTGTAATTCGATATCATTACCCCTTTTTTTCAATATGTAATGGAATATATTTTTTTCAATATCATTACCCCTTTTTTCATTTTATGAAAACATTTGGTATATGCAAGAAAAATCTAAATATGATAGTATTTCTCATCATATATCTAGTGTTAAATTTACTTCAAATTAGTATTTCACAACTAACTATTGATGAATTATTTTCTTCTAATTTCAAATTTGAAGAATATCCTTTAAATTTGGCTGATTGCAGTTCAGATAAAGTTGGATTAATCAAAAATTTTACAAATAAAAATTATTTAAAAATTAATGCGACAATTTATAATCAGTTGTATATAGATTGTGATAATGATCAACTATTGAACATTAATTTACGTAATCCAAATGTGATATGGAATGAAAACTGTGAAAATAAACATCATAATGACTTTACATTTCGATATCGTTTTCTTCTACAAGACAAAAAAATTCAAGTGCAAATTAAAGAATTTAATATGGAAGGAGTCGAATTGTGTTCAATTGATGAATATATGAAAAATGTCTATGAAGAATATCAATATTATAGATCAAATTGGGCAGTTCTTATAAGTATTATGCCATATTTTCGTCTAGCATTTATTAGTAATAATGAAATGAGTTTTTTATTAGTATTTAATGAACAACATGCAAAAAATGAGATGGATATTCTTTTTCCAATGGAACAACTATTTAAGTTGAATAACAAAACAGAACAAAAAATAAATGTCTATCGAATTGATCAGGGTTATGTTAGAATTCCAAAACAAGATGAAATAAATGTTCAATATGAATTATCAAAACATAATTTTATAGTAAATATAAATGAAACATTTCTCTTTTATGGTACACAAAATGCCGTACTAAAAGAAGGAAGTTTTAGATTGACAATAAATGATCAACTAGTCAGTTGTCGATATAATTATTTATTATTCTGTACATTTCCAATACTTGTCAATGATACTGTTAATGATACGGTTAATGTTCTTTTACTACATGATAGTTCCTACGTTTATAATCAAACGGTTGGATTAATATCAAGAAAAGTATTAAATAATTACACACAATCGATCTATAATTTAACAGATATACAACGCTACCAATTTATAATCAATAACAAATATTGCAGGTAAAGGACTACTAAAAATTTTCTGCATCGTACGAGTACATGCTAATCGTGATCATCAGTTTTACTTGATTGAACACTATCATTCTAAGTGGAATTTTAGATTCACTTGAATTTGGAAGAACGAACCTTGAACGATTTTAACTAGCTCATAATTTTTGTCATACTTCAGTGGCTAATGAATCTTTCGACAGGAACGTTACCAGAGTTCAATTTTAAAGTATGAAAGTCGTAAAACTTTTCTCGCTGGAGTATGATATTCAATTTTTTATGCTTTAGTGGAATACGAATAAGTCAAAGAAATAATAGCTTGTTTTGAGTATATAATACCATATGTATAAAAAAGAATATATTGTATGTGAAAAAACAGTACCACTGTTAAAACTTGAAAAAAATAATACACATATTATGTACAACTACTTGCATATAACTTCACATCCGAAAAAAAACTTCGTTTATGTACTTTAATGAAATCTGAATAATTTCTTTTTATTAACTCTCTTTTTAGTCGTTATTTATACTCGTTATTAACTTATACGGTAGATTACAACTATTTTACGGGCGTTATTATACAACAGACAGGAAGTTTTGATATTAAATGCAATGAATCGGTACAAATTGGAAAGAGTATTTGGGAGAGTCGACCAATGGACAAAAATCAAACGCTTGCTGATTATAACACAAATTTAACCAATATCATAGTTGATTTTCAATATGAATGGTCTCAACAACGTTGCCAGTCAATAGAAAGACACCGTCTTTACTTTAACATTATAGATGATTGAAAAGGTCAAGAATAGAGATTCTCTAAAATGTATGTTCTTTTATTCAAGTTTATTTTATATATTCTGATGCTTTGTAATATACAGTAGAAAAAAAAACACAATAGCACAGATATATAGGATGAGTTCTCTAATAAGTACGCAAAAGACACAAAGACAAAAAAAGAATATAAATTCGAATAAACAGATGTCTTTTTTCCAGAAATACATCTTATTTACGAATACAATCAATAAAAAAGCGGAGAAAAAGAGTTGAAAAAAGAAACAGATGTTCGTCATGATGTTGAATTCATCATTTCAAATCTTGCACGTGCAACTTTTCTTACAACATCTTTGTAACTGTCGTTTGGATCGGCTTGATAATGAAGACCACGAGCACCCAAACCCAATCCTTTTTGTCTCATTTGTGCCTACATAGAAATGAGAAAAATAGTATAACAAATTCTTTTAAAGGTTTAGCACTCTAAAATACCTCAATCGGATCTGCTCGTCCTTGTAAATTTTTACCAATACCAACACCTTCTTTCCATCCTTGTTTTTTCATTAGTTTTGATCCGATACTGTCTGATGGTGCTACAAAGTAGAACAAACAAAGAAAATAATATTCTTGTGCCACAATAAATATTCTTAGCCTACGTTGAGTAGGGATCGAATAGAAATCTTGATCGTTGGTTGTTGATATTCGACTATAATTTTCATATGGTGAAGATATTTTTTGTGATAATCCTCGTTTAATATTTGAGTCGTCTTTGCCATATTTGTCGCGACGTTCTTTAGCACGATCACGATAAACTAACTAAAAAAGGATTACAAAATCAATAAAAGTTATTTGTTACTGAGTAAAAATAACCCTGACCTTTTGAGTTCGAACAATGCCAACTTTTTCCAAATTTTCCTGCAAATGAGACAGAAAAAAATATTATTTTATAAACACTTGTTGTTTTTTTTGTTTGATAATTGAACTCGGAAATGTTTATCTAGATAAGAATGAATAGAACATATTTCATTTAGCACTTTCTGATACCTGACAGAAGACTATCTTGCAGTTATATCCAACTTTATGTAACATATGCTTTAAATAAATTACTTAACGATAATAATGTACGGCCGCAAGCATGGATACATTCAGCATTCAAGCAATAAAATAACACTAACCTTATGCAAATTTGACATTTGCAAATGTTTTTGTAATATATCTTTCGTATCAAATTGTCTCTGACATAATAGACATGTTAGTTTAATCCAATCAATATATTTTTCTTCATTTTGATCTAATATATTTGTACTACTACCATTTGACGAATGTTTTCCATCTTCACCATCTGAATCACTTTCACCAGCAACACTGCTATAACCAATGAGTGCACTATTTCCAGCTCTACTGGATAATGTTAACAATGGATTTGTAGATGATGTGGGTACTGAAGACATCAACTGCATAGTCAAAAAACCAGGCATTTGTACGTCATTTGAACGAGTTGTTGAAATATCATCTGTTGTAGTAATTGACTGTTGCACTTCATTTGTCGATAATGGTTTAGTCTGATTTTTCTTTATCAATTCTTTTCGCTTGTTCAATGTTTCTGCCCATTTTTCCATATCCTAACAACAGATTATTCACACATCATGAAAGAATCAAGAAAAAATGGACAAGTTACTTTAGCAATCTTGTTTGCCGTTTTCACTTTTTCTGTTTTTTCATTCCGTTCACTTGCAGCTGGAACTAATGCTGGCGCTGCTGAAATAACACCGTCATTTGTCGCTGTACCAGAAGCTGTCACTACTTTCTTTTGATTTGTAGGCGAGGTTGAAATTGTTGTTGAAGTTGAAGTTGGAGTGCTTGTAGTTAAACAGACGGATGCTGTATGGGAACTCGATACTTTTGTTTGATCAACCGGTATATAAGTTGATTTTGTTCCATCCCAATACATGAACTCTTGCGTATGAGGATTATAATAATAATGTGTTATAGCATCATAGTAAAATGTTGTAGTTGGATCATAATAATAGCCCGATCCTTCGTCATATTGATATTTTAATGTATTTGGAGTTGGATATTTATCTAGCATTTTAAATTCTGAATTTTTCTGAGATGCGACTCTTTCTTGTGGGGAAGGTGATCGAGAATCGTCACTATCACTGTGATGTCGTCGTCGAGAATGATAATGATGCTGAGATTGATAACCTCGATTGTTTCGTTTTTGTGATTGAATATTTCGCATAGCCATTTGCGCAACAGCAGCTGCAGTATTCGTCCGATCAACTACAACACACAGAAAAATGTAAAAAACAATACAACAATGGTTTAAACAGATCAATAATGTGTCATTTTACCTTGATTATCCGGTAATGAATGTTGATAATATTGAAAACGGTCCTGGAATAAACGATAAAATATTTAGAAATACCCATCTACCGTACAATATCCTACTTACTTGATTATAATCACGATAATCGGGATAATGTGATGAATAGTAACCTTCTCCACTTCTCATTTGTGTTATTCTATATCGAACAAGAATAGAAATGCAAAAACAACTGTAATCACAATAGAATTATAATTGTAAAAATCTTACGCTGTTGAAAATGTATTTTTTGAATAATGTGACATTATCAGTTTGCCATCAAGTTCAAATACAGGATTTGCCGATTGCAATTTATCGAAAACGGTTGCGGAATCCTAAAACACTTGGATTTACGGGCGTATATCACATAAATAAAAATAAAAAAACATATATATTTTACCTGTATAGAATTGAATTCGACAAAAGCGAAACCTCTCGAAACGCCCGTAATATGATCTTTAACAACACACGAATTCTTAACCGGAACGTTTGTTAATTCAAATAGTTTTGTTTCAATGGCTTCTTTCGATGTAAGAGCATCAAGACCACGTAGTACCAATGCTAAAGAAAAAAGACGTTTATTTTTTAGTTATCTAAACTTTGAAAAATCTGACAAACTTTAGAACTGAACTACTTACAAGGAAAGGTCCCCAAGTGTGCAATCGCTTTTTGCCTGAACTCTAGTAGGCAATAGGTAATCGACTGCGTTAAATCCGAATCTGACATCGGTTTGTGTTGCTAGGCCTCCAGAGACCGAGTTTCTGGAAAAACAGGTTTCAGAAACTCTAAAAAATAATCAAACCCTTTCCTAATGAGACATAATTGTATCCCGCGCATTTCTGATTAAAATGAGATATCTCTCAGCTCTACACGACCTTTCTTTGCAAAGTTATAGAATTTACACGAAAAGCCCTAAATGTTCATTGTCAGCTCAAAGCTACAGAAATAAGGCGAAATTAATTTAGGGCTTTTCTTATAAATTGTATAACTTTGCAAAGAAAGGCCGTGTAGAGCTGGGAGATGTCTAATTTTAATCAGAAATTTGCGGTCTACAATCATGCCTCATTAAGAAAGGTTTGGGTTATTTTTTAGAGTTTCTGAAACCTGTTTTCCCAGAAACCCGATCTCTGGAGGTCTAGCAGCACAAACCGATGTCAGATTCGGATTTAACGCAGTCGATTATCTATTGCCCACTAGAGTTCAAGCAAAAAGCGACTGCACACTTGGGGATCTTTCCTCATTAGCTTCAATTATCAATTTCTTCATATATTGAAAATAAAATAAAAGAAAAACCTATGTACTTACTGTTGCATGGATTTGTTCCAATTGCTTCGTAGCCATCCAAATCACGTGAACGTTCCGATTCTAAAATTTAGACATCGGCATAACCCAACTGTTTTTTTTGTATTCACAATTTTTTAAATATAATATTTATTCTCTCTCCTTCTTCTTTCTAGTCTTTTAGTATTTTATACGATCAGCATCATTATTCATCATTATTATTATTTTCAATTGTGATTAAATAAGCCTACAGGCATGTTGTGAACATATACAAATAAGAGACCAAATACCAATAAACTTGACCAAAATCCATTCCATTGTTAAACACTCATCTCTCACCTCCATATGCAACTGGTATATGGAATAATATACTATACCTTCTCGTGTGAAGTTGCAATTAAAACAATTTTCTCGACGCTTAAAATTATTGACACCACACTGAAACGTTATTAGACAGAAACTTGTGAGAATTAAATAAAGAATAATCTTTTTTTATATATTTTCATTCTATCAACTTAATAAATAATTAAGCAACATGTATCTTGTTTTTAAGTCAAGTGCATACCTTGCAACAATCCCAATCTGTTAAATGTAAATCAGATGTTTTTCGTCGATGTTCACGATGTGAATTATCTTCCCATTTGTATGATAATGTAACAGGAGTATCGTTGAATAGAAATGTACCCTGAATGAAATATAAGACGAAAATAATTGAGATCAACTGTTGATTCCAATTTGTGTATGTATTACAGCCAACTCAAGGAGAGAAAACAAGAAAAAAATGAGTGTCTTTTAAATGTATTAATATAAACCTTCGTCGATTCTATCCAACGTTGAGCTTCTTGAACAGTTTGAAATTCAATAAAACCAACACCACGATTTGTACCTATAAACATCGAAAAGATCAAATAATGTACACGAAAAACAATTAAGTATACGTTTACCCAGTTCTTTGCGTCTCACTAATCTTGCCGCTTTAACTGGTACCTTGGCAATTAATAGTTCAGATAAAAGCTGAAATAAAAAGCATAAGAAATGTATTATTTCTGGAATATTTTTAGATCTATTCATACTTCGTGTTCATCAACATTGAATGGCAAACCGTGCATCATAATTGTATTTGATGGAGTACCAAATGGATGTGATGAATCATTGGAATCGTTACTAAAATCATCCTAAATTAAATAAAACAAAAAACATCAATTTTGATCTAATAACTGAAGACAAATTATGGAAGAACAACAATAACAAGTTTGTTTTCATATTACCGAATAGCTTCTATGTCGACTTCTGCTACGACTGCGACTTGATGTAGGACTTCTACTACGAGTTGATTTTTTTCTTCGCTTTGATGATTTTACTTTCCTTTCTCGCGATTTTGAACGAGATGAATCAGAGCTTGAATTTGTTGATACACTACTAAAATCACGTTTTTGTTTTGATCCAGTGTCACTGATCGTCGATGATAATTTTTTCTTATCGCGATTACGATTAGAATTTGAAGCTGATATGTCATCATTTTTCTTTTTCTGCTGATGTTGTTCAACGGATTGTGATGTAATTGTCTGCTGTGATTCAACATTATCTTGTCTATCTGATTGTAATCTTTTATCACGCTGATCACTAGATTTTGAAGTATTCCTCCCCATATGAGATGATGTGTCATTGGATTTTTCTTTTGAGCGCTGTGGTTGTTGTTGCTGTTCGTTTTGTTTAAGCGCTGTGCTAGGAATTTGTTTAATGTGATCACGCTCTTTCGATAAACGATCATGATACTGTTTTCTAGACGATGAAGATGAAGTCGTTTCTTGACGATCATTTGTAATATCAATATCCATGTGATGATCATTACTCATCTTCTTTCGATCACTCTTTTCATTGCTTGGTTTTCGAATCTCACTACGAACATTGTTATGATGGCCATGACGGGAAGATGATTTTGTTCGATCTTTCGTATCGTGTGAAAATTCACTCCAATCGTTATCATTATGTTCACGATTACGATCAATAGTTGTAACTATTCGATTATTGCGAATGTTTTTATCTGAATCACGTTCAGTGGGCTGTTGTAATCCTTCATCATAATGGTGATAATCAACATGACGATTTGATTTTTCTCGGGCATTATATCTAAATTGATATAAACTAATTGAAGGTATGACGTAGAATATCCAGATATATTTATTATAAAAAGTTAAAAAAGTACTCATCTATCAAAAACTTTTGTAATTCAATCACGTGGAAAAGTGTAAAAGACAAATACCTGTCTGCCGTATTTTGACGTTCACGATGAAACAATGTTAGAAGTTCTTTTTCGTCACTATTGTACTCATCATCATGTTCATTGTAAATTTGTGAATGTTCTTCCGGATAACTACCACTTTGTCTACTCAATAAATGTCGAAGATCGCTGGTATTTGATGTGTACATGAGTACCGTTTGAGCTATTGCTGCTCGTTCTGGTGAATGCGTTTGATCTTAATGATGAACTAGAAATGTTTTATGAGAATAAATCTAAAAAGGGTACAGTTTTAACATCACAGAAACAATTGTTTTGAAATATAAATGGAAACGATTATAGATAGTACTGAAGCTGAGGACTAATCCTCTCTAACCTATCGAAGTAAAATTTACTGATATGGTTTTTTTCATGTTACAAACCAGAATGATTAATTCACGCTCATTGTTTAATTGATTAGCCTACTTGTAAAGAACAAAGTCAACTTGAACTTTCGTTCAAATTAATGCTAAAGCTTGAGTTAAGCAATGTTGATGTACACGTGATGCTTCCCTCATCACGATCATCAAGGACCTGTGTAAACTGGTTATCGACTAGTCACTTATAGAACGGATTTTTCAGTGGTGAATCAATTAGCATCACGAAAACAGATGCATTTATGCACTCTTAGACAAGAGCGCTTATGTGCGTTATGCTTCTTCAGTACGGTCTGTTCATCCAAGATCTGAGAAATTTTTATTTTCCTCAAACATTCAATTGATCAAACTCGGAAAAATACCAAATAAAAACTGAAAAATCGCTCATACTTTTACAAAAAAGTTATATTGCTTGAAACAGTCTCCTGGCGAATATGGTATATTCTGATTATATTCTTGATTGTAGATTAACCTTAGGCGCAAAAAATGAGACATAGACCTCACTCAAAATAAAGAAACTTGGATCTATTTTTTTTAACAAACTTGCTGTATATGAATGAATGAAGCTATAGAAGAAGGACAAACGAAATCATTGATGTAAATTATGTCTTATCCTTGACGAGTCTTTTAACTAACTGTGATTGCCTAACCAACAACCGAATCAAATAAGAAGGTTGAGAGTGAGTCACATGTCGGTTCCCATGTATCTTTCTGGTATATTATTTTTCTTTCGATATTAAAGAAAAGAATTCTATGGACCGATTAATGGAAATGTATAATTTGCCCTAATGAATTGAGACAGACAGTTATAAAACAATACTGCTATTAATAAATAACAGAGAATCTATTTGCAGAAAAACCTAAGAGGAGAAAATAACAAGAGGTTATATCTGTTCTATTGAGTAGTAACACTATTTAGTTTTAAGAAATTATTCATATAAAATATCTTACGTTGAACTTGTAGAACTATGAAAGGAATGCTCGTGCACTTTTATCGGTATTTTCGATTTGTTCAAATCTAGTTTTTCGTATAAAATAAGAAGTTGATCAAATTTTTTCTAAAAAATCGGGAGGAAAATTAGGAGATTTTTTTTCGAAATCAGAAGAAAAACAGGAGAGTATCATGCAGTTTTTTCTTGGACAAGCAAAACAAAAAAGTCCAATAACTTTTTCAAAAATATAGTTTTTTTTTCAAAATTTTTTTTTTGAAATATGTTTTAATGAAACAGTATTATCATTTGTTATAGACTGCAGTATGGACTGAGGAAGAAGATTTTGATCCAATGGATTTAGAAGTTAACTAATCTTACCTTCTTGTGATAAGAACATTCAATAAGCATGCAGCTGACTCTTCACTGTACAATTATTTAGATTCTTGATCCAGAAATTCTGTTTCTGAAACTGATAATCTCACTTTTGGAAAAAACAAAATCGATGCAGAAAAACAATTGAAAATCAGGAGATTTGGGCACTCTGCTACCGATGTGGGTCTAAGTTGGAGATAAGTTTTTTTCCATTGACGCTATTCCAATTTAAAATATCATCTGGTAATTTTTGAACCAGCAATATCGATCGCTATTTGAGATGGCGTTTAAATCTAAAAACCGCTCTACCTTGATACAACAGAACTGTAGATTCTGTTTACTTGGTCAATTTAGTAATGTTTGTTTGACTGCTCTACTTTTCATTTAAATTATTTTATTGTTTATCCTACAAATAGTCAACGAATACTAAGATGCACAACTTGCTTCAGGTTATCTTGCTTGTACAATCGTTAGTTTTATGCTAGAATGATAATAATTTTCTCGAATGTATCCGTTTCGTGGGTTACGTCTAATTTGGTTGAACCTTATGTTTTAGTCGCAAGGTGTCGGTTGATGATAGAGTCTAGTCGACATTTTCTGTTTTTGTTTGCTTGTATATTTTTTCTAATTTCAGAACTCAGTCTGTTTACTACGATTTAAAATTATATCGTTTACTATCATCAAGATAATG